CTTGTCGGTCATGGTATAAGGGACATGTAAGTGCTATATCGATAGTCTTGTGTCGTAAATGGGAAATCACAAGGTATAGGTTTGGCATTCGCTCAGAGTGCATTGGTTACTAGGAATGAAGACAAAACTGTGGATTTCATGATGTTCCAAAAGCCTTCTAGCTGGTTTCCTAAGGCGATGTTGTGACATGATAGTTCATCCAAGTCAATCGTCGGAAGAGTTTTCATCACGGCATCACCATTTTCATCACTTCATCACCAGCTAGCTAGCACTACAACAAGCACCTCCCTTGCTCCCAGACTTGATTGGAGTGTTAATATCCACCGATAGCAAGATGCCGGCTGCTACGGGCAAGGGGCAATGGAGATCTAGCAAGGCAAAGGCAATGCTTCGAGAGCAGATTCTCCTCGATGTTTTGAATGCCGATACCGACCTCGATGCCCACCACAAGACGGACCCTGAGTTTATCAAGTGGCCGATTTCTCAGTTTAAAAGAAACACCCAGAACCTCATTCAATCGATGAAGAATAAAAAGCAGGTTGTGCAATGGAGGGGTAGCCCCGGCCGTGCGATGCTGAAAGATGAGATTATTGCCGGGACAGTTCACGAGATGTCAGACCCAGAGGAGATACACCAGCGACGGGATGAATACAGGATCTTTCCTTTGAGCAACTTCAAAACAAATATGGAGAATCTTTTGAATCAAGTCATCACCCAGTTTGAACGCTTGCAGGTGGACGCAGAAGCGTATGGACATGACATTGCCATCATTCAAGAGATGAGAACAAACAATCCACCATTGATTAGACCGTGGCATCGAACCCGTTGCCCAGAACTACTGGCCAAAGATATCGAAGATGGAAAGCACCTTGCAATTGACCCAAGCACTGGAAAGAAGATTACTCCAATGCGGCTGTACGAATCTCGGCTTGAGTATAGAGAATTTAAGTTGAAAGTTTTTCGGAACCACATCTACCAAGAGGCAGACAGGCAGATGAAGCAAAAGAAGAGAATGGAAAAGAAGAAAACAAGAGTTCGTCTAGCAGATCGTGTTCAAGTTGCAGAAAACCACCGCCACTGTCTTGACCGAGTGGAAGCAGACTAGAGAGAGATATTGTAGTCATTAAACGCTCTAAATTACTCATTAGAAACTGCAATTAAAGTTTGGTTCAGTTGTAGAGATGTCCACCATTAAGGATGTCGACCGATTCATTATATTCTTTCGCCATTTCTGCTTCGACTCGATTCACCATCTTAATGGTTCCATCGTTGGAATCAGTGGCCGTAAGCAACTCTTCGTCTTGAGCCTTCTGTTCCTCCATTCGAGCAGCAAGCTCAGCCCGCTTGCGACGCTTTGCCAAAGTCGCAGCTCTCTTGAGAGACGACTTGGCCATTCGATTGTCAATCCTGTCATTGCTGCTGTTCTTGGAGTCGACTGTCGGCTTAAAGTTTCCCTTTCGATTAGACTCTATTTCTTGTTGAGCTGTCATGGTATTGAATACAAACGGAGTGCCTTCCGTGGCGGTGTTGACGTGAAGAAATGGTTTCTTGGTGGACGAGGGAATGGGGGGCTGATACGTCGTCTTTGGAGTTGCTGTCTCTTTTGCATCATAGAATTGGGCGCCTTCACCACCACCAGCAGCAGCAGCCTGAGCAGCACCGACAGTGTATGGCTTGCTATTGGCCATCTCGGGGTGCTTCTGCTTGAATTCAAGCCAAGCGTTTAGGTCAACGTTTGGCACTGGCATTGTAGGCAACTTTGGTGCTCCTTTTGGTGCTCCTTTCGGTTTTCCTTTCGGCACCTGTGGGTGCGACTTTGCCTTTGATGGAGGCTTTGGTGGCGACACAATCCCAAACAAACTTGCACCTAAGAACGGAACTGGGGTATCGGCTTGTTTCTTTGGCACGGCCTCGAGCAACCCACGGACACCTGCAAAGGGAGAACCTGCTCCGATCGTTGCACTACTAGCTTGGACATCGGGGCGAGGACTCGGAGCCGCAACAGAACTCGTGGTTTCCATTGGTTCCGGTAGATCGGCTGCAACGTTGCCTCCTGCACGGATCTTGCACATGCCTAATAGCGAGTAAAGTAAAGTAAAGTAAAGTAAACAATCATTAGAATCTTATGGACCTCCTACCAACTCAAGAGCACAACAAGATAGACAACGTCTATTCCGATTCCCGCTCGACCATACCTTCAAACGCAGATGAGAGTGTCTGAACTGGCTCGTCAACCACGCTCGCCATCTTGGGCCTGTCGTTGATGATGCGAAGCTTGAAGTACCCAGGATAGAAGATTTGAGGGACGGTACCTCCCTGTTTCGTCTCGGTACGAAGCCCAAGTTCGCGGAGCATCAACTTGACAGGCTGGTCGCTCGTAGGCGCCTGTGGCTCAGGCGAGACAAAGTCTGTGGTGCAAGTGACACCTTCGGGGAACAGGCAAAGGATAGTCTGGTTCCAACGTGACTTGTCTTTGACAACTGCACTAATCCAGAATTCAAACTGCTGCTTGGTCTTCTCGCACTTGACTTTCTCCAGTTCCAAGAGGTCATGGTACTGGTTCATCAGAAACTTGGAGACGGCTGGCAAGGTGACCAAGAATCCTTTTCCGTTCAAGACAAGGAGTCCTTGGTAGTTCTCGTAATCAGTCAGATCGATGAGGTCTTCAAGCAAGATCTTGGCTTCATCGGACACGTAGGTGCCAAGAGATGTTTTAGTAAGGAGGGAGTCGGGGATGCGAAGAGAATGAAGGTGATGTCCCATCGACTCAGGGTAGTCAAAATCAATCTGCACAAGATGATCAACCATTTCTTCCGCCTCTTCCACAGAGTCGAAGATCTGCTTATTCACAGGAGCAGGTGCTTTCTTTGCACTGCCTTTCTTCACAGGGGTACCATTCGGACCGGCAGCCATGGTTTCTTTCTTTGTTTTTTTAATGGGAGTAGACAAAATGGGGGAGAACACGTCCTTCGATTTGGGTGCAGATGCCGGCAACGGTGGCTTCGTTGGTGTCGGCGTTGGTGCTGCGTTTTTTGTAAGTCGTCTGCTTCTTCGTATCGTCGTGGTTGGAGGAGTGCTTTCTACTGTAGGAGGCACTTCTTCGTCAACGACAGTAGGTTTGGGTGTCGACTCGTCTTCTTGCTCTTCGAGGTCTGTGTTCGAATTCTTGCTGAAGAGTTCGTCCAACTTGGATGGGCTGTACGCGTCGTCTTCTGCCTTCTTTGCTTCAAGCTCTTTCTTCTTTTCTGCTAGCTTGTCCCAGAAGTCTTGAGGAATCGCTCTGTGGAGTTTCTTGGCCTCTGAGTAAACGTCGAGATAATTCAGCGGTTCGTTCTTCTTCAATCTCTTGAGATAATGGAATCGGTTTCGAACACCTTGGACAACGTCGGCGTACAACTCCGGTCGAACCTTTGTTACAAGGTCGTGGCAGCTGTAGTCTTCGTTTGCCTCGATATCAAAATGAAGGATTGCTTTTGTGTGCTTATCGAGCAACATCATGATGAAAGGTTGTCAAAAGAAAGATGTGAGCCTTGTCGATTTTGAATGGCATCAAATTGAGATTTTTGGTGGGAAAGCAACGCCTCAACGTGCTCGCACTTGCCAGCGCTAAGGTATTTAGACAAAAGGCGTTTTCACACAAATTATATTTAGAATAGACGTTCTGTCCTTTAACTAAAAAAATAAATCCTTTCCCGTGCCCGCTTTAGCTATCCCAAAACAACTCTTTTCTTGATGCCGATCACAAAATGCAATTGGTCTTGGTTGGTCTCGACCTTGAGAGCTATGGAGGAACCTGATAAAGATGGGAGGATGACAGCCAAGGGCTTCATGGCACTGGGCCTAAAGACAGCAGGTTACTCACGGTGGCATGCTTTCAAATTAGAGCGTAACATTGAGCGGTTTAAACAATGTTACGGACCCATTCCAGCCACTTGTGCTGACATTTGGAATGATCTTGTAGAGTCTGAAGATGATACAATCAAACTAACTGCAAAAGAGAAAAAGAAACCAATCAAGCTGCTCCAAGCCTTTCGGTGGCTGAAGAAGTATGATTCAGAAATGGGTGTCGCACAGTTCTTTAGAGTGGGCGAAAGATCAATTGGAGAAGAAATAAAGAAATGGACTCTCAAAGTGAGAGGACTCTTGCAAAAGAAACTTGGCAGCCTGCATGATTATGTCGATGCACCACTCATCTTTCTCTTCACAATTGATGGAACTCAGATCCCAGTCGAGGAGCCCAGGCCTTTCTCTAAAGATTGGTCGAGTTTCAAGTTAGGAGGCAATGCTGGGGTATCCTACGAAGTGCTTCTCTGCACATGGAAGCCACAGATTGCTTGGATCTATGGCCCACTACCACCTGGAAGGTTTCCCGATATCTCCATTTTCAGAAGAAAACTGAAAGCTTTGATGGAGACGATTCTTCCAGGAAAGCGTATCATCGGAGACAAAGGGTACAAAGGTGAGCCCGACATCATCAGTCTAAGAAATGAATTTGATCCCCCGGAGGTCGTCGAATTGAAAGATAGGCTGCTAGCACGACATGAGACTATTAATCAATCTTTCAAATGTTGGAATTCGATGATAATGAAATGGCGCCATGGGTTGGCAATGCATAAAGTCGCAACTGAAGCGATCGTCACAACTACACAGTATGAGATCGAAAATGGAACAATGACGCTGTTCGACGCCTGGTACTAGAGTGACAACAGCAGCAGCAGCAGCAACAGCAGCAGCAGCAGCAACAATAGCAATGCGATTGTAGTAGATCATGGATAATGATAGTAGAGGAGTGTTACAAGCGATTTCTCATAGCTGCCTAGCGTACATGCCAAATTCATCACCATTTTCATCAATTCATCGCCACACTTTCAGATTCATCACCACATTCATCATTTCATCACGAGTTTCATCACCGGGACTCATTTTCATCACGGACGTGATGAATTCATCACCATTCATCACCGGCTTATTTTTGAAGAAATGACCTATTTGCTACTAAAAGAATTAAGCACCAGTCATCAAAGTAACCAAGATTCAATTTTTGCGGAACCTTCCCGGACCTATTTTTTGTTCTGGTGGAGACTGGTGGGACGGGCTTATTATGGCGATAAGTGGTGTTAGGCTCCTCAATACCGGTACAATGTAAAGGTAGTTAAGGTAAATATGTTGTAAAGATATCTGTTGCTATTACTAGTAGTACTATGATACAATGATGCAGTTTTGATTCAAAGTATTGTTACCGCATGTACCTCCATTCGGAAGCTATCTTGCTGTTTTTTGGATCGTCCGTGACTACAAGTATCCGTGACTGCAAAAAAGATACTCGATCTCAGCTTGAAGCATCAAGCAATGGCATGACCATCCACAGTCGTTTATCCTGTCAACTTCCGACCTGTACAGCTAGATAGCAAGGACCACCATGATGTCAAAGACCTTCTCCGTCTTATTGCTATTGGTCTTTAGCCTTATCATCTGTCCAACAAATGGCT